TTTCATTAGCTACGCTCTTTTTCTTTATTGGTCTTATTAATCTGTACACATCGTTGAAAATATAATATGGAACTTTCAGTATAAGCAATAAAATCTCTGTTAAAAGCATGATATATTTTGTTACGATCATGATTGCCTAAAAAATAAACAATTTTTTTAAATAAGATCTAATATCGGTTGAAAATATGTGTTAATTATAGATTAGCATATTTTATTAAACTTTATATTGTTATGTGTATATTTTGTAATTGTGACGTATAGTTAAATGATTATATAACTTCGTTTTATTGCTAACATCAAACATTGTGTAAGAATGTTATAAAAAAAATATTAGATTATAAAGGATGTGTTAAAAAAAATATTCAACATTTATATAACATATCTAATAATATATAGCACATACTAACAATAAAGAAAAAAAAAAAAGCTTAAAGCTCGAAAACCGTTATTAAAATATAAAATATAAAAAATTTTTATATATTAATGTCATAAATAACTTACGGGCTTCTTATATGTAAGCGATGTTTATCTCAGTGTTTATAAACTGCTATGCGTTTTGAATGTTCCTTCTTCAATTTTCATACATATTTCGTAACAGAAGATTTCATCGGCAATCAATTATAACTGTAGTCATCAAATATATATAAATCCGTAATCACCAGTTGATAACAACTGACGTGACAGTGAAATCTTATAAAACTATTCGCGCTGGAACGCTGTTCTTGGAGCCAATAGCACAATACCGTTAACAAACTCCGAACAATCCTAGCGTAGCGTTGATTGGTTGGTAGCGTTTAAGTAGAGAAATATATTTGTCGAGGTTAAGTTAATGTAGGAAATTCTGCTTTCAATCATCAATCAAACTTTTCCCTATAATTAAAATTTTTAAGGTTTTGTAAAGTATTTGTAAAATTTTTATTTATCTCGTAGTGAATAATAGAATGCAATTGCAATCTCTATGATAGCTTGTCGCTAAGCCGAAGTGAACAATAGACTAACTAGATCAAAAAATTAATAATTACACTAAGTAAATTAATCAGATAAAAGGAAGAATTCTTGAGCATCTGTTGTCGATTTCAGAAGAAGAAGCATATCTACATCTAATAAGGACCTTACGCATCTGCAGCGGAATACTCTGCCGCGTTATATCGCAATAATAACTTTTTTCCGTACACGGGGATTAAAAATTATCATTAACAAGATACCTCTGACTTTTACATTTATAATGAAATCAAATACACAAGTTGAACTTCGCAGAAACTTTGAAAAGTTAAAAATGACACAAGCAAGAATTATATTCATTTCAGCCTGGTGGCAAGCCATCAGCAAAGATTAAAAATTGAGATTGCATTCATTATGAGATAAAAAATTTGAAATTCACACGTTACATAACGTGTTCACAGACAAAAAAACACGGCTAAATCTTCACTTCAGCAAATCTACAGTCGTAATATGTAGTCAGTCAACTTTTTATGTTAAAATAGCAAAGGTGACAGTTGAAGATTAGCGATTTGTTAAAGTAGCAAAGCTGACAGTTTATAACAATAGCGATTTATTAAACCATTAAATCTTCTTAGTTAGAGATGTTGGATTCGCGCAGTTATAGGTTTGCTGTACCACCCAATTGATTTTTTTTCTGTGTTTACGAAATTCTGAGAAAAGTTTGGTGCCATTCGAGAACAGAATCCCCTCAAACATTAATCTACAATAATAACTTTGACGAATGTTAAACGTTACCAACGCTTCGCTAGGATCGTTTACGGATCTGTAAACGCTATAATATACTAACGCTACCAATATACTACCTCGGAAGGAATAGCGTTGATAGGGCGCAGTTGTGACGTAACACGCTATCATTAGTGACATCATGATTGTGTTTGTTAACGCTATTTGCAGCTCCGCGGTATGTAGCGCTAAAAAGCGCGAATAGCGTCTCCTCGAACCCATGATGTACGAAAGTCAAATATAAGTATGTTTAAAATCCTTGACGAAAATGAGAAAACATTGTTTAACGTTTATATGAGCGTTTGCGGAAGTTTGTTGAGAGTTTAAAAATAGTCACTAGAGTATTCATAAAGCGAAGAAATTACAACGCTGCAGCGTTTGGAAGACATTCTCTGAAAATAAGAAGTTTCATGTTTGTTGACGTTTATATGAACGTTCAGTTCAAGTGTTGAGCCGGTTGAACGCAGACGTTTTGTTAAAAAAAAAGATATAAATTTTTTTATTGAAAAGTCTCATTATCGCCTTTTATCCTATCCTATGGTTTTTTAAATGCGAGAAATTTCATTGTGTCCTTTTAGTGACCATGTTGTGCACTACTTGAAAATCGGATATGTAAAAGAATGTTTGCTAAACGGAAGAAAAACGCTTGTGTTATAGAGTTGAGAAAAACGTATTTTATCTTTAAGCCGTTTGCGTAAAAGCCTTACAAAATATTTACTGAGATTCAATAATTCGCCACATTGGAACAGCGTTTTGTTGAATAGAAAAAAAAAATCTCACGATATTGAGAAAAGCATTTTCTAAATGTTTGAAAAATCTGAACTCTTTGCACGAAAGTGCATCCGCGTTTACTGAGCATCCTTTGGAAAGCGTTACTTTAGCATTACAGAACTTTCAACGATATATATGTCAACTTGAAACGATATATATATGTTGTTTTATAAACGTTCTGAAAGTGTTTAAAACCCAATGGTGTTCTGTAAGCGTTCTTATAAAGTTTGAAAACGTATAAACTCTTAAAAATCGAACGGTTGTCAACATTTTATAAAGTTCCATATATTCGCCAAGGGCAACATTCAGATCCACTATTGGGAATCATGATGAAAACTTAAAGTTCTCATGTAATAGTGCGAGGCAGTGCAAAATAATCGAGCCAACTTCAAAAGAAATCAAAACGGCAATTCTTAAATATCTCGACGTATTGCCACTCGTTTTCACACATATACGTGGATAAAAGTGGGTCATCGGTTCTCTTTTTTCTCTCATCGGATTTGAATTAAAATTCGCGATTATAGAGAATCGAAAAGTTATCGATATTCGCGGTCGAGATTTATTATGCCTCTCCCGCTTCTAGAGATGTCACGGTAACGCAGGGCGCACCAACCGATTTGAGCTGATTTGAGCCGATTGTGGTCGTGTAAACAGACGAGAATGTGTCTGGCCTGACGATCGCGATGCAATCCGACATCATGGAGGATTTGAAGATTAAATTTTTTGGCCTCATTAATAAGCAGGCAAGCCCATTCACGAATACTTCAAGCGAATATCGTAATGCGCCAAATATAAGCGCAGCTTCGTTTGTTGCGTTGTTAGGAATTAGGTTATGTGACGACTCGGAAGTGATGTGTACAGATAGTTGAATTTGACGTTTCGTTGTCAAAATATTGCGATACTTTGCTATTTTCATACTTCTTATCTTTGTAATTAGTTTTAACGAGGATTAGTGATAAAATAGTAGTTTTAAAAATGTAACATTTTAATATTTAATTATATTATCTCTCTCATGATAGTTATATTTATTCTAATTTAAATATACATTATAATTCATCTATATTTAATATTTAATATCTATATTTAATATTTGTATTAAATCATACATGTAAATTTAAATTACTTAATAATTTTTATATATGTATGTATATCTATATAATTCAATAACACACATATTTGTGCTATAAAAATATCCATTTAGTCTCGACTCTACTATTAGTATTATCTGATTATTAACTAAAATTAAAGAAAATAATATTCTTAATTTGGATATACATATACACACATTGACCATATTATTATTAAAATAGATGAAATCTATAGTTGTTTATCTTTTACAGAATGTGACCAAAGTGCCACTTATGGGCTTGAATCCAGATCTGCTTAATCCACCTGACTTACAAAAATGTGAAGACCTCTGTTCGGAGGCAGATCAATCAACAGAGAGTGAGCCTATACCTGATCAGGATGTGTTAGACTCTATCGAAGATGTTTATTTCAATACTGATGGCAGTTTTGATTCATCACGCTATGAACTAAACAAACTGCCAACGATATTGCAGCCTAAGGAAATTGAGAAATGTTATAAGAAACTTAAGCAGCAACATCAAGTTGTTTCCAAGAAAGTGTTGCAGCTTATTTTGCAAAAGCAGAGTGCTTGTAAAGCGGAATTTGACAAGATTTTGCTGTTGCAAGACCAACTGGAGGCTGTTTTAGAAATATGTAAGATTGGAAGGGCAGATCTGCAATTAGCTGAGAAACAATTTACCAAAGCGAGTTTAGGCATATTAGCTAATTATCAGAGACGACAAGTAACTCAAGAATTGTTAAATAGTTTAAATACCATAAAGACCTTGGTAAGTTAATTTATATTTTATGTTTGTCTTTAAAAAGATTATCTCAGACAACACAAAATCGAGACATAAGATATCTTTAAAAGATGTCTCTAAAATTGGGAGATGTTTTTCAGACATCTTATGCTTTAATTTTAGACTTGATATTTTGTGTGTATGTGCGTGTGCGCGCGCGCGCGCGTGTGTGTGTGTGTGTGTGTGTGTGTGTGTGTGTGTGTGTTGGGTATGCCTTATAAAAAGCTAAATCTTAATTTCATGTCATATTAAACGAATTGAGGATCTTTTATACATTTGAAACCTAATTATTTTATAGCAATGTACAGGAGATCGTCTGCAAGAGCTTCTAAATGAAGGGAATTATCCTGGAGCCATATCGCTTCTTTTAGAATGCCAGAGTGCGGCTCAGACTTACAAGCATTT